TTATATGAATTACATGCAATATATTATACTATTAAAATAAACTCTATTTAACTGAAAGCTTATAAAAAGGTTCATTTTCCTCAAACTATTTTTAATCAAACTCTTCAATAGTTTATCACAAACAACATTTCAAATCTCTTTCAACAAAAAAATTCTATCACTTTCTCACCAACAATATTTCATTTATCTTTTGTTAAAAATAATATTTCGTCTCTCTTTCGCATACATTGTTTTCTCACTTTTTTCACAAATAATATTTTGTCTCTCTCGTTTTCTCACTTTTATCAAATAATATTTCGTCACAAATATAACTAGAAATATGGGATGAAAAAAAGCTGTAGCAGTACGTCATCACTACTACGCTACCAGAAAGCAACGCGTTAACAAGAAACTCAGGGAATAACAGAAACTCATAGTAGCCAAGAAATGGCAGATACTCCACGTCGGCAGGTTCTGAAAACAACTTTGATACCTTCAAGTAGTCAAGAAACATGTCGGCAAGTTCCGACATTAACTTCAACAACTTCAAGTAGTCAAGAAACACGTCAGCAGATTCTGACAACAACGCATCTTAGTAGCTAAGAAACACCTTATCGACAAGTTTCAGCACTAAATCTAAGTAGTCAAGAAAAACCAAGTCAGCAGGTTTCGGCAATTAAAAGTCAACATCGGCAGGATCTGGCAGATGAAAGACCATTCAAATTATTAGTACTATCAAATATTTCTAAAGAAACTCGATCTCAATCTCCAACTCAACCAGGTGGAGATTATGATGTTTCGCTTAATTACAGGATCAAAGACGAACATCAACATGGCGAAACTTCAACAGCTGGTATGGTTAGAGGTGCCATTCTAAAAGCTGATAATCAGGATCTGCAGGCATCATCAGCTTTCTATTAGAGGATAACTGAAAGGTCTTCAATACGTCGGCAAATAGGTGATGAAAGACGTCACGATGAAAGGAGTAGCAAAAGGAGTATAACTCCTTATCATCGACAATTTGACATTTCTCAAGGTGACGAATTTTGATATACTCCATATTAATACAAACTCCTTTAATTTCACAAAATCTACAACCAGAAAATGAATTATGACCAGTAATATTTATAACTTTTGAGAGAGGAGATCGTGGATTAAGACTTGACGAAAGGAGTGTAACTCCTTATCGACCAAGAAGGAAAGAAGTTTCTCCTGAAACAACTGATTCTTCGCTGAGTGAAGGTAAGTATAAATTATTGCAAAAATTTAGCCGATATATATTTTTTTATCAATTTATTGTTACCTTTTCTATGAAAAAGCATATTTACGTGGAAGAATCAACGAGTTAAGCAGGCAACTCAGCAATGCAAATGAAGAATTAAGACATTTAAGGACAGAATTCAGCAAAGTTACTGAAGATAACGAAGTGCTTATTCTTAAAAATGAGAGTTTGCATGACGAACTTAGACAAGGCCGACGAAGACATAGAGATAAAGAATCAGATGATGATCATCGAGGAAAGCGAACTCAACACAGTAGCGATGAAAGCAATGAAGAGAGGTTTTACAACAATGACGCAGCCAGGATTCGTTTAAAATCTCTTCTGAATTCTAATTAAAATAACTTTAATTCTAACTGAATTTTAATTAAATATAACCGACATCAATCAAAATAACTTAAATTGGCTTTATTTTTTTTTTATAATTTAGATTGAAATGAGAACGATTGTAAAAATATTGCCGAACCATCTTGAAATGATATATGATCTTAAGTTCAGCAGTGAAAAAAATACCGAAATATTATTACAAGTAATACTGCATCTCGTCAAAGCCTTAAAAAGGTTCAAAACAACATACAAACAAATCAGAGATTGGCTTGGCTCGCTTCACAGGCATCGATGAGTTCAGTTATTATATAAACAACGTGGTACTTTAGATCATGATAATCAGCGATTACACAAAAACAATCATACCAGTGAAGTAAATATAATCGAAATTGATTTTTTTTTAAGAAAAATGAACTTCGATTAACATTCGATATTTTTAATTTAGAAAAAGGCCAGAAGGATTAAAGGCGTCAATTTGCTTTTTGATTCAGGTGATGAGAGAGTTTCAAAATATGATAAGAAAGAGTTATTGAGGATCTTAGGGGACAATCATTATCATTCTTCCGAAGATTCGGTGACTGATTCAGAAGAAATGGGAACACAAACAATTAATGTTTATAATCCAAGCTGGAGATCAGATGGGGTTCAATACTTTTTTAGAAATTTAATTATAATTTTTGTTAAAATTTTAACTAATTCCTATATTAAATTTTATTAGTTGGGGGCGTTGTTGCGAGAGGTCGACCGTCATGCGTTCTCACTGCAAATCGCGCAATTAACAAGAACTTGACATTATAGCGATGATTTTACAATACATATTCGATACTCTCAAAATACTTCTGACTGGACATTTATAGATCAAAATACTCCAGCAGACACTGATTTTTCAGCACCAGCAACCGAAGTTGAAGGTGAAGATGATGATATTGAAGAAGAAGAATAAATTCGGCATATCATAATTTATAACGAATTTTATTTGATTCTTAGTTTATTTTATATATATTTGTATTAT